ACTGGCCATTTCCCCATCTTTTTCTCTCTCTTTGGACTCTCTATTCCCTGAGACACAATAATATTGAAATGAGGCCAGATAATAACCCTACAAAGGCATCTAAGCATGAAGTCACACGTCTCTCACTTTAAGGCAAAAACTAGAAATGATTAAGCTTAGTGAGGAACGCATGTTGAAAGCCAGGATAGTCTGATAGCTAGGCCTCTTGTGCGAAACAATAAGCCAAGTTGTGAATGCAAAGGAAAAGTTCTTGAAGGAAATTAAAAGTGCTGCTCAGTGAACACATGAATGACAAGAAAGCAAAACAGCATTATTGCTCATATGGAGAAAGTTTGAGTGGTCTGGATAGAAGATCAAACTAGCTACAACATTTTCTTAAGCCTAATCCGGAGCAAGGCCCTACCTCTTTTCAGTTCTTGTTAAGGCTGAGAGAGTTGAGGAAGCTACAGAAGAAAAGTCTGAAGCTAGCAGTTGGTTCATGAGGTTTAAGGAAAGAAGTAATCTCCATAACATAAAAAGTGCATGGTGAAGCAGCACGTGCTGATGGAGAAGATGCAAGTTATCCGGAAGATCAAGCTCAGCTCTTCCATGAAGGTGGCTACATAAACAACAGATTTTCCATGTAGATGACGAACCTTCTCTTGGGAAGAGATGCCATCTAGGACTTCCATAGCTAGGGAGGAGATATCGATGTCTGCCTTCAAAGCTCAAAGCGCCAGTCTGATTCTCTTGTTAATGCAGATGGTGACTTTCAGTTGAAACCAATGCTCATTTGATATTCAGAAGATTTTAGGGTCCTTAAGAATGATACTAAATCTTCTCTGCCTATGCTCTATAAATGGAACAATGGAGCCTGGATGATAGTATATCTATTTATAGCATGGTTTGCTGAATATCTTAAGCCCTCTGTGGAGGACGTACTGCTCAGAAAAAGATTCCTTTGAAATATTACTGCTAATTGACAATGCACCTGGAAATCCAAGAAGTCTGATATAGATATATGTACAAGGAGATTAATATTTTCATTCTGCTAACACAGCATCCATTCTGCAGCCATGGATCAAGGAATCATTTAGACTTTCATTTCTTGTTATTTAAGAAATACAATTTGCGACACTATAGCTGCCATAGTTATTCCTTTGATGGATCTGAGAATATTAAGTTGAAAACTTCCTGGAAAGGATTCACCATTCTAGATGCCATTAAGAAATTCATGATTTATGGGAAGAGCTCAAAATATCAACATTAGCGGGGAGTTTGGAAGAAGCTGGTTCCAATCCTCATGGATGACTTTGGGGGTTTAAGACTGCATTGGAGGAAGTAACTGCAGATATAATGAAAATAGCAAGAAAACTAGAATTAGAAGGAGAGCCTGAAGATGTTACTGAACTGCTGCAATCTCATGATAAAACTGAACAGTAAGGAGTTGCTTCTTATAGAATGAGCAATAAACTGATTTCTTGAGATAGAATCTACTCCTAATAAAGAAGTCATGAACAGTGTTAAAATGACCACAAACCACAGAGGATTTGGAATATTACACAAATTTAGTTGGTAAAGCAGCAGCAGAATTTGAGAGGATTGACAACATTTTTGGAAGAAGTTCTCCTGTGGGTAAAATGCTGTCAAACAGCATCATATGCTACAAAGAAATCTTTCCTAAAAGAAAGAGTCAAATGTGGCAAACTTCGTTATTGTCTTATTTTAGGAAATTTTCACAACCACCCCAACCTTCAGCAACCACCGTCCTGATCAGTCAGGAGATATCAACATCAAAGCAAGCCCCTCCATCAGCAAAAATATGGCAACTTGCTGAAGGCTGAGATGCTCATTAGCATTTTTAGGAATAAAGTGTTTTTTTTAATTAAGGTATGTACATTGTTTCTTAGATATAATGCTAACGTACACCTAATAGACTACAGAGTAATATAAACATAATTTTTATATGCACTAGGAAACAAAAAAATTTGTGTGACTCAATTTATTGTGATATTTATTGTAGTATTCTGGAAGCTAACCCACAATATCTCTCAGGCATGCCTGTAACATTTTTTAAAAGTTTTTATTTCTGTATAATCTCTGTTTTTTAAGCCTGTACATTTTAAAAAGTTTTTATTTCTGTGGCCGGGCGTGGTGGCTCATGCCTGTAATCCCAGCATTTTGGGAGGGCCGAGCGGGCAGATCACGAGGTCAGGAGACGAAACCATTCTAGCTAACACGGTGAAACCCCATCTCTACTAAAAATTCAAAAAATAGCGGGCATGGTGGTGGCACCTGTAGTCCAAGCTACTCAGGAGGCTGAGGCAGGAGAATGGCGTGAACCTGGGAGGCAGAGCTTGCAGTGAGCCGAGATCGCGCGACTGCATCCGCCTGGGCGACAGAGTGAGACTCCATCTCAAAAAAAAAAAAAAAAAAGTTTTTATTTCTGTGTAGTCTCTGTTTTTTAACCTCCATCATTCATGTCGTTGGCTGTCCTTGGGTATTTGACAGTAGCTGATACTTGGTTATCTGCACCAAAAAGCATATCATGGTGTTTGTCGCTTGTCTCTTGTACAACTCTGTTGTCACCTTTCTCTGGGGGCTTGTGATCAAACTCTGCAAAAACAAGTTCTGAATGAATTGGTTAGTTACAACCAAAACGTCAGGCCACTATTATCTTCCCTGTCCAGCCTGGAAGTGGCATAGCCCATTTGCACTGGGGTTTTTAGGTTACATGACCCATGTACAAGGTGCAGCTTTTTCCTGCCTCTTTTAGAAGGGGCCTGTAAGTGTGACAGTCTCTGAGCCTCATGGATTCTTCTGCACAGTATGCATTTACTGAAATTACATCCAAAGTTGTTGGCAAGTGACAGTTTTGTGGTAGCGGTGTTTGGAACAACAGCAAATTTTACATTTTATTGTTGTGGCAAAATTTTTCTGTAAAGGACCAAGTAGTAAATATTTTAGGTTTTGTGGGCTACGTAAAAACCAGTCTTAGCTTAAAGGAGGCATTAAAAATATACTGAGGGCTGGATTTGGCCCATGGATAGAATAACAGTAAAAATCATAATTAATCTTTGTTCTATACTGCTATTATAAAAATAGACTGTACAGTTTCGACATTTCAGAATCAATTGTTTAATAATCTTAGTCTATAATAATTGAAATTAATTATATGTTACTTTAAACAGCTGCATTCGAAGGAAAATTGCTCACTGCCATTTTTTGTTTTTATTTTATGTTATTATTTTATTTTTTTAGAGACAGAGTCTCACTTTGTCACCCAGGCTGGAGTGCAGTGGCATGATCATAGCTCGCCGCATCCTTGAACTCCTGGGGTCAAGTGATCCTCCTGCCTCAGCCTCCCAAATAGCTGGGACTACAGACTTGTGCCACTATACCTGGCTAATTTATTAATTCTTTGTAAAGGTAGGGTCTCACTGTATTGCCCAGGCTGGTGTTGAACTTCTGGCCTCAAGCAATCTTCTTGAATTACAAGCGTGAGCCACCACACCCAGCCATAATTAAGTTTATTAGCTCTTTAGTCTCATGAATCACACACACACAAAAATGATGGAAATCAGGAAAATACATATATTAAGCCAGGTGCTCTTGCATGTGCCTGCAGTCCCAGCTACTTGGGAAGCTGAGGCAGGAGGATTGCTTGAACCTAGGAGGTCAAGTTCAGCCTGGGGAATATAAGTGAGACCCTGTCTCTAAATTAAAAAGAAGAAAGAAAAATACAAAAGGAAAAAATATATATTAATTTATAATTTCGTTAGGGAGGGAACAGCCTACATTGTTTACTTATACTTTTGCTTTTATGCAAACATTAAAAAATAATACAAAATGAGGTGGCACATAATGAATATGATAGTCATGTAAATATAGAATAGTCTATTGAAGAATAAACATTTGCCACAAAATAATATTTTAAGAAGACATTTTATGATATATTATTGAGAAATATACATTACAACTTAGAAAGATAGTATAAGTTCATAGAAATATGGATAATTAAGTGGTCATGTGTAATATAGTTACAGGAAAATGTTTCCTAAATGTTCTTAGAAACTTTAGGAATTACATCCCAGGCATTGTAATTTAGGGATAAGTTTCTTTAGGATTTTGAATACTTATCTCAATGTTAGTCCAAAAATAGGAATCACAAATTCTGATGATATAATTTATATAAATTAATATTACTTTATATGGAGATTATTTATGTGTTAATTTTCATTCATTTTTTGAAAAGTATCTAACAACCAAGTCTATTACTATATGTATATTCAGAAATTTTTATTATGGTTAGAAACCATGGAATTGTAGAAGGGGCTGTGTTTTATGGATTGAACTTAATGAAGAGCCATTTACAAGACATCTGAGATTATGGATTTGGATATATAACTGTTAGTTGACTTTGGGTTAGCATGAGTTTAAATAATTCTGGACTTTTTAAAAAATAATATTCAAAAAGTACTAGTTTATTTAAGTTGATGGTGAATTTGGTTATTTTGGTGGTCAGTAAAATAACCCTGGGTTATTTGAATTATTCCTCTATATTACTGCATTGGTAGTACACAATTAGTAGTAGTATTGTATAAGCCATGACAATGTGGCTCCCTTTCATTGTTTTAAACATGTTTATCTTACTTGAGATCTTCCTATTTAAAGTGAAAAAAGAAGTTTTTAAAATTTCTAAGGATAAAAGCTGGGGTGATAATTTTTTAAAAACGGACGTAATAATTTTGCATATTAATTTCCGGAAACGAAAGCCGGCATTGTAATAAATTCTGTTCATGAAGATAATTTAGGCTTTCGAATATGGAAGCAAAGTTCTAACTAATAACCTTTAATAAAAAATATTCATGGTAGCACATTAAAACATTTGTTTTAGGATATATTATTTAAAATGACTTTTAACTTTTCTCGCCTCACTGAGGGAAGAGGAAAATGGAAGTTGAAAGTACATTATCCTGTAAAAACAGCTAAGCATTCAATTGTTTGTCTGTTTTCCACAGATGGGCGGAAACCATTTCCAATTAACCATGGTGAAACTAGTGATGAAACTTTATTAGAGGTAACAGTAAAACTTGTTGGCCCATCTTAAGTGCTATTAATATTTTGTCATCTTTAAAACATCTCTAAAGTCACTTGTATAACATTTTCTTTGTATTTGGATACTTCTTTATCCTTGTTCTCTCTAGAAAATCCAAAAAGAAAATTTATATTAGTGTTAAAAATCTGCAACAAATAAAGAGGTTTTCAGAGCTCTATGAACAAATGTAAAATTTGAAAAGGCAAGAATAGTATTGAAAGACTTACTCATTATATCCCAGATTTCATCAAATCTAGAATACCATTAATTGTATCTTGATCCTGATTTTAGAGATTTTAAAACATGAATAAATTGTGTGGCTTAGAATCAATGAAATGTGATTTCTAGGTGAAAAGTTTCTTAATAGCATTTTAAGAACACTTATGGCCAGGCGCAGTGGCTCACGGCTGTAATTCCAGCACTTTGGGAGGCCGAGGCGGGTGGATCACCTGAGGTCAGGAGTTCGATACCAGTCTGACCAATATGGTGAAACCCCGTCTCTACTACAGACACAGAAATTAGCTGGGCATTGTGGTGTGCGACTGTAGTCCCAACTACTAGGGAGGCTGAGACAGGAGAATTGCTTGAACCTGGGAGGCAGAGGTTGCAGTGAGCCGAGATTGCACCGCGGCACTCCAGCCTGGGTGACAGAGCAAGACTCTGTCTCAAAAAAAAAAAAAAAAAGAGAACACTTACTATATCTTATACTTTTGTATGAAGCAAATTAGGACACCCAGCTGTTCACTCTTCTGGTGTTCTTTATTTCTCATTTGGAAAAGGAAGTTTGCAGTATAAAATTAGTATGAATTAGAAAAATATAAATGTTTATCATTTATAAGTAAAACACTTATACATTGAAAAATCATACTTTTTTTTTCCTCCATAGGATGCCATAGAAGTTTGCAAGAAGTTTATGGAGCGTGACCCTGATGAACTAAGATTTAATGCGATTGCTCTTTCTGCAGCATAGCTTGTCAATAATGGAAACACCAAATACTGTGTGATTTGCAACTAAATTTTCTCTGTCATACACTAACTCAAACATTTTGATATTTTCCTTAACTTGATGATTAAACTTTATGTGAGTTAAACTTTGCCTTAACCTGTGTTTTATGTTATTTTTGCTCCAAGTTAAAGGCGCATTGCTTTCCTCCTCTTTTTCTTGTGAAGGATTTATCGGGTTTGAAAACTAGCAATAGCTTTCTTATTCTCTTTATATTTTACAGGAAATTTTGTATTGGGATACCAGGCACAATTTCCATTTGCATAACATGAATATATATTATCTATGTTAACGTGTTTATTTAGAAAACATTTGTTAAGCATCTACTTGTAATGAGATGGATGCCGTTCTGGGTTCAGAAGTTAAAGCATTGAACGCTGTTGATAAATGTACTAGTCATGGAGCTTATGTTATTGTGAGAAGAGATAAATAACAAACACATCAAGATAAATACCAATGATAGATGCTGTGTGGAGAATTAAAGTAGGATTTGTGTTAGGGAGTGACCAAGCAGCTGCTTTAGATTTTGTTGTCAGGGAGGCTTCTGTGAGGAGGTGACTTTGAAGTTGAGATCTGAATGACTAAAAGTAGCCTGTCATAAAGGTGGTGGGGAAGAACAGAAAAAGTAATTAATGTGGAGTCCCTTAAAGTAGGAACATCTTGCTGTATTGTAGGACCAGGAAGGAGGTTCAAGAGGCCAGAGCATAGAAAGTAATAGGGAAAGTAGCAAGAGATGAGGTCAGAAAAGCAGGGGCTTTTTGATACAGGAAAAGGCATTTGGATTCATTGCAAATGTGATGGTAAGCCATTGGAGAGTTTTAAGCAGGATAGGGACCTGCTTTGATTTATAATTTTAAAAGCTCACTCTGACAACTCTATGGGTAATATATTGAGGAAGGAAGCAAGAATAGAGGTAGAAACACTTGTGAGGTGCCCACTGTAGTTGTTCAGTGGGATGATGATGGCTGGGCCTTAAAAGTGGTAGATTAGATAGAGGCCAGGTGCAGTGGCTCACGCCTGTAATCCCAACATGTTGAGGCATGCAGCCAGGGATACGAGACCAACCTGGGTAACAAAGTAAGATCCCATCTCTACAAAAAGAAAAAAAAATGGAAAAAATTAGCCAGATACGGTGGCATGTGCCAGTAGTCCTAGCTACTCAAGAGGGTGAGGCGGGAAGGATTGCTTGAGCCCAGGAGTTCGAGGCTGCAGTGAGCCATGATTGTACCACTGCACATTAGACTGGGTGATGGAGGGAGACTGTGTCTCAGAAATAGTAAATAAATTTAGATGGTGGTACGTGAGTGAATTTTGGTTGTGCTTTGAAGAAGGAGGTGCTTCAGTTGAGTCTTTAAGGATAGGTGGAAAGGCCGTGGAAAAGTGAAAGGGCATTTATAGAGTTGGGCCAAAACACAGTTGGTGTGATGACAGTGTTCTATATGTTTTTGGGAGAGAAGTAGCTATTACTCGGGTATATTTATAAAAACTCGGGTATATTTATAAAAACTCATTGAATTGTACATAAAAAATCTGTACTTTGCTGTATATGCATTTTACCTAAAGTAGGGGGAGGTAGTAGTGGTTACTTGGCATATGCATTTATCGTAACTCTGAATTGTATATTTAAAATCTGTACTTCACGTATGTTTTATCTTTAAAAGAAAAAACCAGGGTTGGGTTGAAATGAGTATAGTAGTTAAGAGAAAAACCAGATTGGTCCAGAATGAAGTTTTTGGCCAGTAATTGAATATAGGTGTTTACACACAATTCACTGAGCTAAGAGTAGTAAGGCGTGGCTTTCAGAATGAACTAGGTCTTTGTTACTCAAGTGTGGTTGCATCAGTACTACCTGGGAGCTTCTTAGAAAGGGGAAATTTCAGACCCCACCCCCAAAACCTTTTAACAAAATCCCTGCTTATTCATAAGCAATACATTAAGTCTGGGAAGCACTAGATTAGATTAGTTAAGCATTTTTAACAAGATCCCTTCTTATTCATAAGCAATAAATTAAGTTTGGGAAACACTAGATTAGAAAAAATAGACTATAACGAGGAAAATAACTTTGAAAGATATTTAAGCTTACCATTATTCTATGGTGAAAAGGGCATGGGTGAAATGTTGGCAATACGGATGAAAAAATAATCTGAAACAATTTGATAGGTTGTCTATGCAGATGATGCTTACCATACCAATAATAATGACCCATGTATTCTATTCTTGTTATGTTATCTTTTGTGTGTTACCTTAAATATTTTAAACATTCCTAAGCAGTTTTCTGCCTGTTGCCTTGCTGGATTTCTCTCAATTATATGATTTCTTAAAAGATCCTAAATCAGTGACACATTACCTAGAATTTACATAGTTTCTCAAAGTATGCATGAGGAACACTAACTTTGCAGAACTCTTAATGGGTAAGAAAGATTATGAAGTCAAGTATCTTGAAAATACTGGGTTGAACAATCTTTTTTGAAAGTTACAGGTATATTTGGAGGGGGGCAATTATAGAATGCCTCAGTTCTTTCAAAAAATATTCCATGTATTATGAACAACATTTTCTATCATTTTAGGGAGTGGCACTTAGAGCTAGCGTTCTTTGGCATACAGTTTAAGGTGGTAGTCCCTTGTGGAACAGACAGCTTGAAAACTTTTTTTACTGCTCTCTTAAGCTTACGTGTAAACTTTAATTCTCGACTCTATTCCCTACAATACTTTTGTTTAGTCACTTTCGTAAAACTTGGCACTTGTAGAAAATATTAATAGTTTACTTTGTGTGAAAACTCATGGAGATACTAAGGTTGATAAGTTGTGGGTTATTTTCTGTATACTGCTGTTAATGACCATGATCGCAGGGAAAATAGAACTAAAATGAGAACTAGAACGAAATATTTTTGCTTGGTGGACTTTTGGGAACATCATCTTTCACTGGGTATAATGGTTTGCTTTAAATTATTGAAACAGACGAGCTTTTATGAGCCCCCAAATACTTAACCTGAATATTTTCAATGTTCCTTTGTGAGTAAAGCAGAAGTTACCTGCATTCTATGGCCAGCCGAAGTTTAAGCTATCTAAAATGAAAACTATCTTTGATTCCTTATAAAACATATTTGAATGAATCTGATTTAAATTTATTTTATTCCATCTTTGATTTGTGTGCAAGCCTTATTTGGTAAGCTTTATCACTGGGCTGTGTATAACATACAAACTGCTTATTTAATGAAAATAGTAGAGCTTAAAAGGTATTTTTAGACATGAATGTTTGTCTACTACTGTATCTTTCAAAAGAAGCATTTGTAGGCTTATGATTCCTCTAATGGTGCTGTTAAGAATTGCAAAGAGGCATATTTCCATCACTTTTTAAAAACTTTCCTATTCATAGAAATTTATTTCTTTTAGGTAAATCTTATGTAGGTATATGTGTATACTCATATACATGTATCTACATGTATATATATGTGTGCATGTATATATATGTACACACATTCACACATATGTATACCTTGAAAAGGCAAATAACCTTGGTTTAAATTTTCTTGTCTTATTTAAATCCATGACTGAAGTTAAGTAAAACCACTTTGAAAAGTATGTAATCAGCTGGGCATGGTGACTCATGCCTGTAGTCCCAGCACTTTGGGAGGCAGAGGTGGGCGGATTGCTTGAGCCCAGGAGTTCAAGACCGGTCTGGGCAACATGGCAAGACCTTATCTCTACTAAAAATACAAAAATTAGCTGAGTGTGGCGGTGTGCACCTTTGGTCCCAGCTACTCGGGAGGTTGAGGTGGAAGGATTGCTTGAGCCTGGGAGGTGAAGGCTGCAGTGAGCCAAGATCACACTGCTGCACTGCAGCCCCAGTGACAGTGAGACCCTGCTCAAAAAACAAAAACAGAGGCCGGGTGCGGTGGCTCAAGCCTGTAATCCCAGCACTTTGGGAGGCCGAGACGGGCGGATCACGAGGTCAGGAGATCGAGACCATCCTGGCTAACACGGTGAAACCCCGTCTCTACTAAAACATACAAAAAACTAGCTGGGCGAGGTGGCGGGCGCCTGTAGTCCCAGCTACTCGGGAGGCTGAGGCAGGAGAATGGCGTAAACCTGGGAGGCAGAGCTTGCAGTGAGCTGAGATCTGGCCACTGCACTCCAGCCCGGGCGACAGAGCAAGACTCCGTCTCAAAACAAAAAACAAAAACAACAAAAAAACCTGTAATCATTATATCAGGTTTTTAGAACTAATTTAGAGGGATTTATATACACATACATAAAGTTTAATAGTTAATGTCACCTGATTCCCTGGTAAGATCTTAAAATGAGCTTCCTTGTGTTCTCAGCAACATTGCTACTAAAAACCAAGTGTGGAATATACTCTTCAGATAGCAAATGTTTTGTCATTTCCTTTGCTTCTGTTGATTTTCAAAATTTTGCCTCCTTAAAGTACATAAACTATTGCATTGTAGAAGATTCCAGTGAAGGGCATTAATTTTCTTGTGTCACTGGTGCCAGTTGATCTGACCAACCTAACATGCCTCAGTTTCATGCGTATTCTCACTTGTTTTCCTTCTGAGTAAAAGTTACTCTAGATCTTTCTCTTGACTTCTTTGTTTAGGATAGTGGTTCTGAAGCTATCTGTTGCTTCTACCAGCTTGATAGATGAGGGTCCTCAGTATGACATTTTTCCACAGGCTACAGCTAGATATTATATAGGAGGTTATAAAGACAAAGGCTGGATATTATGAGCAATTCCTTATTGTCTAATTGATAAGGAAAGCCCTGGTTTAGGGACACTAAATGTATATGACCATACTGAAAACTACTTTGCAAAATTAATTTAAAATTGCTTAGAAATATATAATGTAGCTCTTATAATCTACAAGGTAGAAATGAGTATAACTTGAATTATTTAAAATAAGAATCAGCTAAGTGATATGAATGGCACAATTATTTGGTTCAGAACTGTAATCTTTATCAATATGTAAACATAGTTGATACTCAAATAAATAAGTTATGTTTAATAGTGTGTCCTTTAAGAGCTAAAGGATCTCTGTGTTCTGCACATGTTTTATGACTACAAGATGAAAACAAATTGCTTGAGGTTTTATTTGTATGTT